CGAGGTGCCTCCAGGCAGAACAGAACCCCTGATCTTTGGGTCTGCAGCTGAGCGTGGTGACAATTGGTCTCCCTCAGGCGCCTCCATAAACAACAGTGGTCCTGCATGGACCAAATGACCACTGACTTTGAAAGGATCTAGGTCCATGCAATGGAGGTTGACCCCAAGCCAACGCAACCCCCAAAGGACAGGGGCCCCAGTTCTTCAGGAGTCCTTCCAGCCGTGACCCCAGACAGCAACTCTCAGGGGAGTCTGAGACCACCCCTCAGGCTTTGTCACCCCATCTTCATTGGACCCATCTGCTCTGTCTACGGCTTGGCCCAGGTCTGGCCCGAGTGTCCTGAGGCATGTGGAGTACGTCTCGGTGGTAGTGTTTATTCAGTGGCCTCCCTGGGTCCCAGTGTGCCCGAGGCCCTGGTGTGTCCTTGGACCCCCTCAGATGCAGCCATGTGTCTGGTTGGGAAGGAGGATCAGGGGAGGGAGCCAGGGAGGAGCCACAGGAGGAAAGAGAGAGGTGAGGAAGAGGAGGACTGGTAGAGGAGAGGAATTGAAGGCTGGGGTGGAAGTGAAGGGAGGAGGAGGAAGGAGGAGGAAGAACGGTGGGGGCAGGAAGGGAGGGGTAGCGGAAGAACGGGAAGAGGAGGAGGGGGAGGAGAAGACAACAAGGAGGAGGACTGGGAGGAAATGGAGAGGAGGGAGAGGTAGAGAAGGAGGATGGAGAGATGGAGGGGGCAGGAAAGGTGAGGGCAGGAGAAGGGAAGAGGAGGAGGAGCGGCAAAGGAGGAAGAGGGGGATTAAAAGAAGGAGGGGGAGGGCAGGGGAGGAGCAATGGGGAGGAGGGAGAAAGGGAGCACTTGGCACCCAGCCACACCACCCCAGTCCTTACCCTGTAGTGCCCAGGAAGAAGGTCACCCACTTTGGGTCATGGACCCAGATCCGGGGGCTGGGGTGGGCTCAGTAGCGGGGCTGTCCCTGCAGGTGGGGCCCCCTTCCCCTTCCCGTCGGGCTGTGGGCTCACTGCAGCTGCTGCTGAGGTCTTCACGGCTGAGCCGTGGTCCTCCTGCAGCCATCTTCAGAGAAACCACAGGCCAACTTGAGGTCGGGGCAATCCCAGCTGCCCCTTCACCCCTTCGCAAACACAAGCATCAAATGTCATGGTCTCACACCCACCCCAGGTCTGGGGACCACTCAGTCCATGCACCCTTCCTCCGGGCCTTTGGCCAAGCCCTCACTACGCACGGGTCTACTAACCCACACAGAGGTGCTTCAGAAGATGAGCCTGGTGATCTAATGCCAAAAAGTAGCCACTCCTCTTCTGCTCAGACCTAGGTGGGGTTGCTATGAGTCAGCACCAACTTGAGGGGACCAGTCTGATTTGTTGTTGTCGCTCGCACTTGGTAGTTGGGGTCTAATCACCTCACTAGATTATTGTCATGGGTTCCGTTTTGCCCGTCCTGTCACCAGCTCCCTGGCAAGTAGGTGACCATTTGGCTGGGCCAAGGTTCTCAGTGGCTTGGCAGTTATGGAATGATGCAATGTGGTGACAGCGATCCACCAGGATGTGCTCTGATGTGAAAGGTAGAAGAAGATTGGGGGAGAGCAGATGGTGATTTTGAACTGTAGACCTTGTGGTTAGCTGCCCAGTGAGGAAGCCACTCTACCACAAGCGCTACAAGGAGAGAGGACTGAGCAGAGATCAAAACAATCTACTACTACCAAAAAAAAAAAAAAAAAAAGCTAGGAGTGAGTGTGTCCCTTGGATACAGGGTACCAGAGCTGAGAACCTCCTAGACTCAGGAGACTGATGTTAAGACACATGGAGCTCTCCAGGATATGCTGGGTCCACAGATGCTGGCAGGAGATGGGGACCTTTCTTATATCTGTGAACCAATAAGGAAGAAAGCCTCCCCTGGAGTCAGCCCTGAACCTGGATGTGCAGCCTCCTGGAAGTCAGAGAGCACATTTCCATTTGTTAAAGGCACCCTTGCGGTGTTTCTGTTAAAGCAGTAGTGGTTACACATTTGACTGCAAACCACGAGGTCAGCAGTTCAAAGCCACCAGCTGCTCCTCGGGAGACAGATGGGGCTTTCTACTCCTGTAAAGAGTTACAGGAACCCACAGGGATAGGCCTACCTTGTCCTGTAGACTCACCATGAGTCAGAATTGACTCGATGGCAGTGAGTTTTGAGATAAAGTAAGCCAATGGTTATTTCTATTAATAGAATCCACCAGTCACCTTTTGCGGGGGTACATACTAAAAATTGTCACAGACATTACTGGACTCATCTGACCCTCACCCTGAGCCTGTGTTGTTGGGTCCAACACATGGAGACCATACGGCCGGTC